TATATATACTTTCAAAACGAAAGCTGAAATCTGAAGTCTCTCTGTGCTTCTTAATATGTGACAAATCCTTTCTAGCCTACATGTGATGAAGCAAGCAAAGCCTGTGACATGTTTAAAATAATGTCATTAGAACATGATTACCTTTACTTTCCATTGTTATTTCAATAGTCTCCCCAAACGTTTCAGTCCCAGAATACTCAGTTGTGTATGCATACAACGTTGAAACTACTGGAGAAGTTCGTGTGGTTGTTGGCTTCACCTCTGTCCTGGGTCAAGAATACCCATCAAACCCATCTGATGATCAACAGCTGTTTACTGTTGAGGTATGTGACACAATCTTATTTTGCCACCATTTCTTTGCTTTGAAATTTAATCGTATACTTCTCTTGTGCTTTGATGATTACAATTTTCTTTTTTTCAATCTCTAAATTGTGCTTTTATTATGACATGGTAAAAGTGCTTCTAAGCGTTTTGTTATTGAATGCAATATACGGCTCTTTTCGTCTATGCAGACGGTCAATTTGGCTTAAGATGGTCTCAAGGTTGTCTTCAAGCAGCTTCTTTCATGGATAATTCTTCCTATGTTTGAAGCGCAGATTCTGTCGCCTTGAATGCAATATTGTGTTAAATAAAGAATTATCCTCCCAATGCATCAAAATAAGTCTAATTCTTGTACCTGTCTTGCTAAAAAGAAAACTTGAAAAAAAATGTCCTTTTTGACTTTAATGTATTTTAGAAGAAAAATTAGTGACCTAGATATGTTACCTCAGTTGCAAAACATATGGATATGTAATAACTGTGCACTTAAGTTATTTAGACTTGAGAAGTATACTCTTGCGTTGGCACTTCATCACTTGTTCCTATTGGTATAATCTTGTACAGGAGCTGACAGGCAATGATGACATTCCAAGTGGTAACATTCCAGTTATCATTTTGGTTAATGAAGATGACAGTGTGACAGCTAAAGTGTGCACAGGTGGGTCATCGCTGTAGCGCTGGACTATTGGTAGCAGGGCATAAAGGAAATATGTAATTTTACGGCATGTTTATGTGTGTATATGTGTGTATATGTGTGTATATGTGTGTGTAGTTTCTTTTTGTGGTATACGGTCAAACCTCACTATGCTGCCCACCTTGGGACGAGCATGAAGTTGGGGATACAGCCCGGCTGGGGGGGTAAATGGGATAGTGTCGACAGCCATCTTGACAGGTGGATGACTGGATTAGAGACTAGATGCTAACTGTGGCTAGTTTTGACTCATCTAGATTTGTTTCGTGCGAATGCCGTGTTGGGGAAAAACGAGAAGAAACCAAATGCATGTACAGTCCCCCCCCCCCACCCCATGGGCCATGCCACTGACTGAAATGTCTTTAGGCCATTGCCCAAGGATGGTGGGGGAAATTCTCGTTCTTATGCATTGTAGAATTGAAATTGGGTTGATCCATCCTCACGCTCATAACTGTGCCTGAACTACAACAGGGAACTGCTGCTTTTTCTTTCCTAATCTTTACCATCTTCATTTTCCTCTACTTCTTGTGTATGTTTGTCACACTCTTGTGACCCGCTATTTCCGGGTGCCTCGAAAGTCGAAACAGACTTTTGGCTGCTGAAGCTAGAGAGGTGAGCAGAGTAAGCCCGATTCGCTATAAAGACTTTTCTGTAGACATCCATCCCTTGGCGCTCATATGACCTTATACAGTTGCGAGCACCGTAACTCCTCTACTAAAAGAAACCAAAAAAAACATGTACAGTGGCAACTGAACTTTATGGAAATTCAAGCTGAACTTTTCTGCCACACCCAGAAGCAAGGCTATATTTATCAAGGATCCTGTAGATGATTCATTTTAAAAAACCCGATACGTATCTCACCGACGCTGACTAGCCATTTAGTATCGGGCAGATGCCAGGCTATTCCAAATATTTTGCTGACAGGCTCAGGTGGTGCAGTTTTTTCAAAACTGCTAAACAAAATTTTAACATTTCACTCCAATTATGTTCTTGAAATATTGGCAAAAGCCTAAAAGTAATAGCACTTTCATATTAAGCAAAAATCGGGAGCAAAACGGGGGGGCAGATGCTAAAAATAGGCGAAACTCATAGAGTCGTGGCTGGGAAAGAGATTATAAAGCTGTACAGCCATACAGTGGGCACCTCGCTCCCTCAGTAGTGTGTACCTCTGGCAGTCAATTCATCAAGTTCGATTCAGATTAGTTTGAGATAATTTCTTAAATTGATCCAACTTCTCTTGTGAACCAAATCTGTATTCTTTTACCCCTTCTTAACTGTAGTTATATTGACGTCTTATGTTTTTGATTTCAACAGAGCCAGGAACCTCTGGCCCAGCACCACCACCAGGAACTTCTGGCCCAGCACCACCACCAGGTACATCTGGCCCAGCACCACCACCAGGAACATCTGGCCCAGCACCACCACCAGGAACTTCAGGTATTTATTATTTTTTTTGTGACTCCTGGTCATTAGATTGTTTCAACGTTCAAGAATTGATAACTTTCAAATAATGAACGGATATCTCAAGCAATAATTGGGT